TATTTTCTGGTGCTCCAATTCGTTTCGTGAAATCGGCAACCAGGTTAACGGGGGGTTTTTTACCTCCGGTTTTTTTTTTGGCGGTAACCATAATGGTGGTCGAGTAGATCATGTTGTGCGGGGTGGAGAACCCTCACTCCGCGCAAGGGGGATGATCGCACCACGTTGTGTTAAAATGGTCAAGCACCCTCGAGGCAGTTACACAGTGCTTACAACTGTCTCTGGAAGTGAAAGCACCAGAAAATAAATTAAGTCATACGCAGCTGTCATCCGTACGCAAGGAAGTAAGCAGAAGATGCCAAAAACCCTTAGCAGCATGCAGCGCACCCTTCATGCGACTCGCCGAATATCTCACGGCGCTTCGCGCTTGGTGATGTGAGAGCCTGGTCCGGTGAGAACCCGGCGTGCTCCGTCCCGGCTTTGTAGGGATGCGAGGTCAATGGTCTAACGACTACGGCATGGACGACTATGAGTACCCCCCCCCCCCCTCCGTCCTTACTGCTGCTGCTGCTGGATGAAACAGCTGTGTGAGTGCCTCTACTTGCGCGATGGGTGTGCCGAAGCTGTATGTGTGTGTATTATGTGTGTATGGTTAGTCTCATATTTTGTGGTGTGTGTGTGTTGGCGTGCCCCCGTTCGCTGCCGAGCTGAAATGAAATCCGTACGATGCCGCGGCGGTTTGGACTTCGACCCACAGCGCTGTGCCTCGAAATTGATATGAGATCCAGCAGCCTGTCAAACGTTTATTTTTTGGCCTGGTGGATGTGTCAACCGTCTTTAGATTATTCGGAACCTTCGTTGGTATAACTCTTGGAATAATGGTTGCATGGAAATCAACTTCACCATGTGTTCGCCGAAGGATACTTCTTTCTTTTCCAAAGGCGGAGTTTATTGCTGCCGTTAGGTTTAATAAACCCAAACGGCACTGATCGAGCTCTTTGATATTCAAAGCCACAGCGCTGTGGGTCGAAATCGTAGACGGGGGTGAGGCCGGACCATTTGGATTACGATATCGCGTGGATGCCGACGTTGGACGCGTTGCATAGCGGTATCGTAATTGGAATGGGGTAGACAGCACAGGGCTAATGTTTACGGCTCTGCTGGCCGATGACAATGTGCTCACCAACCTCAATCAATCAAAAGACAAACTGGCCGTGCACAGCCACTACTACTGCTGCGACTAGTTACACTGCTGTTGCGATGGAGACTGCGATGACCAAACCACCAACGATCGAGTTGTTTGCTAGCAGTAGAGGACCAACTGGCATCTGTGTAGCGGTGGGTGGAGGTTGCTTCGCGCTTGAGGAAGCAGGAATCAACGAACGGGCTACCGGAGGGTGAGTCAGTCAAACCTCTATCCCTCTCTTCTGTTCCGCTCCAACATGCGCGAGGGTTCTTTGCCGACACACTCCAGGTGGCTTGTTTGTATACCACGGGTGATATTGCTGCATCGCTGAAGACTTCCAAGTTCTACAACTCTGGCGGCGGGTCTCGCGACAGCTACGTTCGTTGCTGCTGCTGCTGCTGCTGCTGCTGTTGTTGTTGTTGGTTGCTCTTTCTGGGGCAAGTCTCTGTCTGAAGCAAAAAACTCTCACATCTACACACCACCAGCTCCCGAAACAAGTAGATTTTGCCCACATGCTCCTACGCGCCACTGCTGTACCACTGTATCGCTGCTGTACTATACAGCCAAGGCGTCTTGGGGGCGCTCGAGCTACGTAGTGCTGCTGTTGGATGTTAGATGGTTGGTGCGAACTGACGGCAGATAGACGAGGTGCCAAAAAAAAATGTGTGTGTGTGTTGGTGTGTGCAGCAGGCGGTTGTTGTTGTGTGCCGTTACGTGCACACATCATCACTCACCAGTTCTACCCCACAAACAAGTCAGCTCCTGCTCTACAAGCTCATGCGCTGCTGCCGTAGTACTCGACTGGTGCTGTGCGGCAGTCACGGCGTCTTGGAGATGCTCCAGGCTATACTTCAATTGAGGCTACACAGCCCGGCATGAATATCTTTTGGAAAATTCCAGAAGGGTTTTGCGGGGAATTGCTCCCAGTTTGATGGGTAAGAAAAAAATGTTGGGTAAGTTAGACAATTCCTTGTTTATTGATCCGGATCAGGCGGGATCAGTCCCTTCTTGATACTCTCTTAGAACAAAATCTTTCCCTCAATGGATGACTTGCCGGGAACGGTGCACGTTGTGGAGTATATACCGAGGGCGGGGGCCACGGCCAACCTGTCGCCTCTGAATGTAGAAGGGTCTGCCCGCATGCCGTATATGACATAAGATAACACACCCCCTTGACAAATTTTCGAAGCTCGATTTCTCAACTGCAGGAACAGCCACAGCGCCGAAAATGACGGCGTTGTAACCGTCTCGTCGAGAGCTTTTCGAAAAAGTGTCGTTTCGTTTATGCATTCTCTTCGTCGTGGAGTAATCGAGATTTGAAAATCGGTCCAGGGGGTGTGTTATCTTGTTTCATACACGCCGAGTCAACTCAAAAACAGGGTAGCAGAGTTAGTGTTGGGGAGAACAAGGAGTCAATCGAATACTCCATGAACCCGTAGAAGGTCAAGGGACCAGCTGTTAAGAATAATGCGCTCGAGTGGCTATGGTAACACGTGTACTGCTGTAGATTGTTGTACAGGGTACAGCACGGACGGTGCAGGGGCACTGCAGTAACTCCCTACGCGCGCGGCAGTAAGATCGACATCGACACCTACCTCTTGCCATGAACCGAAAAACTCTCACCATCTATCCTCCGATTGATAGCTTCGTTCCGGACCAAGGCCGTACCCAGAAGTTCACCGTCACTGTGCAGTTGCTTGGGTGCTGATCTAGCAGTCGCTGGTCGATTGACCTCTAAGCTCTGCATCAAACACAACCACAGGGGGGACGCAGACGATGAACCTTACGCTGTATTATACCGTTGAAAAAGACTGCATCATCACGGAGCCCCTGGACTTTGCCCGCCTAGCGCCCGGGAATCTGCCAACATTGGCAGGAGCAAATTCCATGCCAACACGAACTCCCTTCTTCCCCTCGCTCCTCGACAAGCTTTTGCTTAGACATGGGTTGTAGTGAAGGGGGGGGTCTTTCTGGCGAGCAGGGCTAGACTCACCCTCAAGGGATGACCGAAACCTTCTTGCTGCTGCGCATATCCGCCGCGAGGCATGCGCGTGGTGGTGTAGTTGGGTCGGCACTGATGGGGTCAG